TGGTTATTAGGACAAAACTTACATAACTTAGCAAATCTGAAACCATTTAATAATAATAATAATAATTTTATTTATAAAGCGCTGTTAACAAACAAAATGTAGGCTCAAGGCGCTGTAACAACATTACAAACACAAGAGCTAACATGACAAACTAATCAAAAAAAGTTTTAAACAGATAGGTCTTAATGTTCTTCTTAAAAGTGGTGTAGCATGTTGTCTGTCTGAGATCAATGGGGAGTGAGTTCCAAACCTTTGGTCCGTGAACTGAAAAAGCCCGCAGACCGTAGCTTTTGAGGGAGAAACGTGGCACTACTAAAAGCGTTGAGTCCATTGAGCGCAGGGCTCTCTGGGGGACATATGGAGTAATCAGTTCTCTAAGGTACAAGGGCATCTCGTTGTTATATATACACTGATGACAAAGTGTGGCAACCTTGTAATTGATTCTCGCTTTCACTGGAAGCCAATGGAGCGTGCGCAAGAGCGTAGTAGCAGAATCTTGTCTGTTTTTTTTAAGGACTATTCAAGCGGCGTTGTTCTGTATACGTTGCAGCTTGGCTATTTTGTCATCAGGTATACCTGCTAGCAAGGCATTGCAGTAGTCAAGGCGGGAGAGTATGAATGCCACAGCTAGCGTTTTTGCTGACTCCGTTGTTAAATATGGTCGGATCTGGCCTAATCTGCGCAGTTGCAGATAAAGACCTTTGCAGAGCTGACTTATGTGTGGGTCGAAAGATAGTGTTGAGTCAAAGAAAACTCCAAGATTCCGCACTACATGGACAAAAGGAACATGGCAGTTCGTGATAAAGAGAGAATCTGTGCTTTCAACTTTTGAGACATTGTTCCTAGTGCCAATCTTAATTATTTCTGTCTTGTCTTCGTTCATCTTGAGTTTATTTTCAACCATCCAATCGCTCACCCTTGCAATGGTACTACTGATTTTCTCTGCTAAATGCGACACCTCTGAGGGTACTGATAAATCGTATAACTGTGAGTCATCGGCAAAAGAAATGGTATAAGATACCGGTTGGCCGTATGACACCGCTGAGTGGATATGTGTACATAGTGAACAGTACTGGGCCTACAACTGATCCTTGGGGTACTCCGTACTTCAAAAGTAAGCTTGTTGATTCCGTCCCGCTAACAACGACACTTTGGGTGCGTTCCGTCAGGTAGGATCCAAGCCACTTTGGGACAACTCCTGCTAATCCAAAAGTTGCAGAGAATCTGGCCATCATAATTTCATGGTCTAGCGTATCAAAGGCTGCGGACAAGTCCAGCATGGAAAGAATTGATATGTGGCCTTTGTCGGAATTGTGAAGTAAGTCGTTTAGTACCCTGACCACTGCTGTTTCTGTGCTTCGGCACTTCCTATATGCAGATTGAAATTCTTCCAAGAGACAGTACTGTTCAAGATGAGAAAGAATTTGCGCTAACACGATGCGCTCCAGAAGCTTTGACAGGAAGGGAAGATTTGATACCAGGCGATAGTTTTTTTGACATTCCGGGTCAAGACTGGATTTCTTTAATAAGGGCCTGACAAGTGCATGCTTAAATTGCTTTGGTACAATGCCTGAAGTCAGTGAAGAGTTCACAATGTTAGTAATTGTAGGTACAAGCTCATCTAAACATTCAAGGAGCAAGGAAGTTGGAATGGGATCAAGGTCACATGACTAATTTGGCATCTTTAGAATAGTACTTTTGACATAATCTTCAGATACACGCTGAAATTCGCAAAAAGGAGTATTTGCATAAATGTGTTTGCATTTGCATAAATGTGTTAAAAATATGGCAAATAGCAATCTCCCCTAATAAAGAGCCTCCCTTGTTTGTTACTATTAATAGTGAATAGTTGTAAAAGTGGTGTATTTTTATAATAAATTGCTTGAATAAGATTTAAAAAATTAGATTTTTCGCATTTAGAAAAGAAAAAAATAGCCGTTACATCAGAACTTTGAATGGACTAAAATATTATGATGTCAGATTTTCACTATCTTTTCTAGTTTACGAGATCTAAATGGGACGGACGGACAGACATTTCACATAAAACTTTTCGGGACCGCTAAAAAAAACAACACTCTTCCTGTAATGTAGACTAGACTAACATAATGTGTTAGTACAACTATTATATAAATTCACTTAATAATTACATACATTTTAATAATCTTGATAGCTTTAAAAACAAATATAATAAATTTAGTTTTATTAATAAAAAGGTATAAGCTGAAAAAAAAAAAGCATGATGAAAGTAATGATTTGAACTCAAGGCTAAGACAAGTTTCATTTTGTCTACATATTACTGACCAATTTTATAATTATTTTTAAAACTTTCAATTTTTAAAACCATCTTGCCATAATAAGAAATTCCTTGTATTTACATCACATTTTTTTTTTCACACAAGACACTCATTTTGAGGAAGAATTTGCTGTGCTTGTGTTTGGCCTTCTTGGTATTGGTCGATGTGTGACAGTGATTATAGCCATTCTTATTCATCATTTTAAGTGGACTTTACAGGTAAAGAGATTAACAAAACTGTATTAATTGCCTAATACAAATTTGTTCTAAGCCAATAGTGTGAGGTTGAGGAAAGACTTTCTATTTAAACTGCTAGTAAAGAGCAATAGTATTGAAATGGTTTTGGTAATTTTTACAAAGCTTATAATGTGTGTACATGTTATTTCTCCCGAGCTAAAATTTTGCACAATTATTTCTTTTACCTGACAAAACAAGAATTTAAAAAAATTAACCAATTAGTTAATTTAACTAGTGGTAATTAATTATATTGTGTTTGGTAAAAAATTAAATTATGACTTTCATATAAGCGCTACTTTCATGCTTATAGTATGCTCAGAGCGCTTTGGTCCAATCTCAGTTGTGGACCGCGGGGGTGGGGTGGGGGGGGGGGTTATCTAGGAGAAGGTTTTTCTGTGCTGCCTTTAAGCGCTAAGTAAACACAACTCTGCCCGAGTCGAGTGTTGAACCTCAAGCCCCTTTCATAGGTAGCCAAGCCAAGCTAAGTTCAAGCGCACTTAGCCTCTCGGCCACACTTCCTACTATCAAACAAGGGAAAGAAATTATGCTTGACAGATCTGGTAGTATACATTGAATTATTCCCCTTTAGACCTGAATTCTATTCAATTTTTTTTTATACATTTAAAAAGCGATTACAGTAACATTCACAGAGTTATATCAATTTCTTTATCCCTTTCCGAACTGGTTATGTTGTTTTAATTACATATTTAGTGATATTTCACAAATTATTTAAAAGAAGGGAAGAAAAAAAAAGAATATTGATTTTTAAAAAAAAGGGAAGTGATTAATAATAACAGTAAAAAAAAAAAGTAATCTACTTTTCATATATTGAATATAATTTTGTTGACTTCAAAACTGCATTGCTAATTCTAAATGGTTGAGGTATATTGCGCAAGTTATCTATCAAAACTATATAGACATCCACAATTTGATTGATATTACAGGAGGCCTATAGTCACATGAAAAAATGTAATGAAGCTATCAAACCTAACCAAAGTTTCATGGAACAACTGTCGCAGTGGGAAGAGGAAATCCATGGCAGCAAAATAACTGATCTAGAAAGTATTAACTATTGAAAAAGATTTCAAGTTGGCAGCTGGTGTGTATCATTCCAATTATCACACAGATAATACTGAATGGCACTGTATTTATTACCATAACAAACAAGAAATCTGGCATTCATCTTGAAAGATTTTATTTTTAATATAAAAAAAACAACAACACTAAACTAAAAAATCTTTACATGTTTTAAAATGATTAAAATCTTATGATGTAAATATAATAAAATACAATTATAAACATCGCTTAAAATATCTTCACATTTTTTCTGTTATCTTTCAGTTGCATTTTCAGACAAAAACAGTATCTGCTGCTAAGCAATAAGTAACCCTGGTATCTTGTATCGTTTTATTTTATTATTAATTAATGTTTAATATTGTACAATTTTAGTTTTAAATTAAAGTTTTGTGAACTTTGTTTCTTATCTTTAGAAGTTAAACTTTTTGTCTCTCAGTACATAACTTTGCTGCAGGACAATGCAGTGAAAATGTTCTAGCTGCCAACTTTCAACATTTCTTTTAAATTACAGGCATTCCATCAAAACAAGATAATTACATCCTATTCGTATCCATGTTTTTATCTAGTTGTGCTTCTTAATTAGCGACTTTGCTAAGTCTTTGGTTGTCCTGGTTGATTCAGGTAACCCAACCTGGCACTAGGGAATAAGGGAGCACCTTTCCTAGAACATAGAATAAGAAATGTGCCTTATCTATGTGTTTTTCTGGGTATTTTTTTTTTTTTAAATTTATCCCATCAGAGGCTACTTGGTTACCATAAAGCAGTTGGTCAATGTGCTAGCAACAAAACACAACTTCCGAGAGGGATAACTGACACTAGTAGAAACAATGTTCATTTCATATTCTGAAACTCCTAGAACATTAACACTTCCAATTAGTTAAAAAGAGGAAGGAAAGGTGGGGGGGGGGGGGGGGATATGTAGAAAAGTTGAGAGTAAGTAAAGCAACAAATGATCTCAGAGCAATAAGAATTCTGTCCCCTTTTTGAAAGTGATGAAAATGTCACATCTGATTAAAATATATAATAAGGGCTTTCTCTGAGTCTGTAGATTAACAATTTTTGGTTTGTTTTGCAAGCTTCAAATGTTCCTGCAGAGTTGAAGATATTCAACATCCTAATCCAAACACCTCACAGGACAACAGGGGATGACAGCAGGCAGGGTATTAACCTGGGACCATTGAGACGACTGGACCACAGTCCAGTGTGCATACCCCATGACCAGTTAGCCTTTAAGGAAGAGTGCAGGATTTCATTACTATTACCCAGCTGAGATTCACTTAGACCTACATTTATATGTAATATAACAAGAGAATTCTTACAGAAGTAGATTTTAATAGCTTAATGATATTTTTTAAAGTTAATGTGTAAATATAAATAAAACTTACAACAGGCTTTAAACATAAGACATTTTGAAATTATTGTTAAAACTTTTATTAAAACCTCAAATCCAATTAAGATATTTTAATTATTTAGCAATAACTTACTTCAGCCAACAATTAGTATAAATGGTATAGATTTTTTAAAAAGTAATTAAACTATTTGCATCTAAAATAAATATACAATCTCATCAAAAAAAGCTAGATCTGTGAAAATAAAACCCACAACTTCAAGGTCACAATAACAAAAATCTATATTATCTATGAGTAAATTAGTCTGAAGACTTTACTTAACTGTAATCTCATTAAATCAAACTTAAAATTTTTTTTTCTCCCTGTTTAATTCACTTGTGAGCTTACGAAGTTGAACAAAACTCAACATGTACACCAAATCCTATACCCATACATGACAAGGGAGTAAGTTCATGAAAGTTATTAGGACACATTAGAAGCAAAATAACAAAACATTATAAAATGGACAGTGTAAAAGAATGGTTTTGCCTCTCTCTTAATATTCTGATAAGGAGAGCTGCTCACATTTTATTTACAGGATTTACACTTTAAAAAAAAAGTTTTTAGATAAGTAATATTAAAATTTCTTATATATTCATGTATGATTACATATTTTACACTGAAACTTCACTGTGGAATTTCCCCCTATTTCAGCATAAACAAATGTGAAAGTTTCTTTAACCCTTTCTACAGGTCTGGTGTATGTTAATATCAATATCTCATTTATATTTTAATTTGACATTTATTTCAATCGCACACATGAAATACAGAGCAAAAACTACTGGTTGCGGTTATCACTTGACTCACGTTAACTCTGTTGTTTCACTGAACTTTTTAATTTAGTGCAGAACTGCAACTTCCTAGTTGCTCAAGTGAAACATACCACATAGGGGATCACAGTAACACTTGAATGGTGTGAATGAAGTGTCTTTATCTCTTGAAGAAATCTGGATTATACTGTGCATTATACTGCCTCTTTACTCTCCTTCCTCTGTCTTCTCGTTCATCATACTCCTTAATGACTTCTTCACCACTTTTTCTTTTACCTAGCAAGGCTGCTATCCTGGCTTTTTCTTCTCTCTCCCTCTTCAGCCTTTCCTCTCTGAGTTGATTCATCGACTTGCTAGTTGAGGGATGTGAAGCAGATGAGCTGTGGGAGGTTGACTGTGGAGTTTTCACTGTATGTTTCGACTTGTTTTTATCAACCTAACGATAATTTTTAAAAAGCTGCATAAAACTTTAAAATTAATGTTCTACAAATCTTGCATTAACATCTTTTATTTCAAAAAAATAGCAAGAAAAAAAAAGGTATCATTTTCACATTAAAACTAATTGATCATATTGTATGATTCCAGAAATCTATTTTATTGATAACACCTGTCAAACAGCTGAAAACAATAACATTTCTATTTCATATTTTTATAATAACAAATTGTCACCAGTGAAAAAGCTAAAAATGATTGTAACAAAACTACATGGCCTGAACATCAAATTTACACAATGCTAAACATAAATACAAAATGGAAAAGTGGGAGAAAGATGAGAGGCAAACTGATAAAGTTTACGATTACATGGGCATGTGTAGGTTGGGCTTCATTCTGCATAGCATCTTATGTTTAACAATTAACAGCTCTTTAATAATAAAAAATTATTTAAAACACACAAACCTTTTCTTGTTCTTTCTTGTTTTCGCTGCTCTTATGTTTCTTCTTTAAATACTCAGACATTTGCATTAATGGGTCCATTGAATGTGAAGTCTCTGGTTTGGAAACATTTCTGAAGTAAAAAAAAAACTATTTTACAAGTGAGTCAAATATTCACTAAGCAGTGAAAAACACTATGTACTTTTAATGTAAAGTTTTTAGAATGTTTTAAAAATTGTGCTTACTTTTGACTGCTGCTCTCACTTTCTTTACTTGATTTTGAGATATTCTTTAAATACCAAGGCTCTACTAAATGAGAAAAACAAATTTAATGTTAGGAGTCAATTTTTTTTTTTGTATACAGTAGAATATTGACACAAATAGAATCCCTGAAACATCTTTCCTTGTTATACATATCCAATTATTGAAAAAAGCCTAAAAATGATACTAGTGTACTGATTCTATATCACTTGGCCAGTCTCCTCCACCAAAATTTAATTGGGGTGTTACCGGTATGTGCAATACCGTATTTTTCGCCGTATAAGACGCACTTTTTCTTCTCCAAAACTGGGGGGGAAAGTTGGTGCGTCTTATACGGCAAATACACATTTTACATGCATTAAAACTGCCCCCAACTTTGTGTGGCGCTTACTCGCAGTCCTTTCCTTATGCAGTGTGTGCTGCGGGCTGGATTTGGGGCACGTACTGCGGGCTGTGGTGACTTCTGTGACCCTCCCTGCACGGCCAGGCTGTGTGTGTTCGGGCTTCCCTCTCCCTCCTATAGCGCGCCATGCCCCCCTCCCGACAGTCTAACCATGTGCTGCACGGGCATCATGCTGAGCTTACTGCCGGTACCTCCATCCATCAGCGCAGGCTGCGTCTCCTCATGTCTCCCGGAGCAGTCTCACTCCTTGCTGGGCAGCGTGGGCACAATTTCGCCGCTTCTCTGCATATCTCCCGGGCACCCGATCAATCCATGATGCCCTGAAATGTCCGCATGTCTGCCTCCTGGTTCCGCCTCCTCCAGCCAATGCTTACTGATGTCCGTACTCTGCCCCGCCCCGCTGATTGGATGCCCGTGATTGATGGGCAGAAGGATTGCTCTGCCCCCGAATCCCGGGGAGAAGATACCGCCCTCCCTACCTCATACTGCCGGTCTTGCTCCGCCCCCACTAGTCTATCGGAGGCCCATGATTGATGGGCAGAAGAATGGCTCCACAAGCTCCGCCCCCGAGTGTGTGAATGGGTTAAAAGGTCATGGGACTCCGTGAAGGAGGACATTGTTGTAAAATCCTTCAAGAAGTGTGGCATTAGTAATGCCTTGGACGGAACAGAAGACGACGTCTTATTTGACACCAGTGAGGAAGAAAGTGATGACAATGACTGCGAGGATCTGTCCTTCCTCATTTCTGATAGCAGCGAAGACGAGGAATTCTTGGGGTTCGAATAAAAACATTACAGACTGATTTTTGTTACTTTCACTGTTTACTGACTGTTAGTAAAGATTGTTCTTAATATGTTACATGGTTGACATAAAATTGTTCTTAAACTGCTGTTTACTTTATACAGTTGATATAAAATATTTTAGTACAGTATTTGGTTCAGAATCTTTTTTTTCTAGATTTTCCTCCTTTAAAATTGGGTGCGTCTTATATGCCGGAGCGTCTTATACGGCGAAAAATACGGTAAACCTTAAATTGTGAATGTAAAAAAAAAACATTTCCAAAAAGTTTTTGAAAATACTATTATTAGTTTTAGAAAAACATTGAAATATGGAAAAGCCACATCTTAGAAAGTACAGTAATTTGTATTTATTCAAAATTATACTTGAAAGACAAATTTAACCACTCTAAAGTTGTAACATCAGGCAGGGCCGGTCCTAGCAATTGCGGGGCCCTATGCGAAACGGATTGCGCGGGGCCTATTCTGTGTAGGGATAAGGATAATAAGTGAAAATTAAGATTTTGTATTAAAAAATAAATTCAATCTCTCTTCGTGAATTGTTGATCTTAAGTAATTCTTGATTAGTTTAAAACGCGAGAAACTTCTTTCACAAGATGTCACAGTTACAGTTCAAATCTCAGCTGCAAGGAGTAAATTGCAGTGTTCACAATTCTGTTGAAACATTTTATCATGTAGCCATCTTCAGCTTTTCAATGTGTGAAGTTTTCCAAAGATTTATCATACTGCCTTTTCCTTTGACTTTTGAATGGAAAGATTGCAACAACATCCATGTTTCCAGCCAACTTCTTTTTTGCTGTCACCTGAAGAAACAACAGGAAGAAACTTAAAACGTTCATACACAACTACAAGCTCTCTCACATTAACCCTTATCTGAGAGATACCGATAACATCTGCTCGTTGTGACTTATGTCTGGAGTACAATCCAATATTACTGCATTCTTGATGTCTTGAATGATAGAATTCTTCACAGCATCAGCTACTACAGTAATGAGTTAGTTTTGAATCGTCTTTCCCAGGTAACAATCATGAATTACTGCATTGGTAACACGCCGAAGTTGTTCCCCATTACTGGATCAAACTTTGCAAGTAATTCTACTAGACCAGGAAATTCCCATTACTTGGCTCTTTAAGTCTTTCAATGGTCCCACTGAAAGCTAAATTGCACTTCGCTAGAAATCGTACAAATGCAACTAATCCAACATTTAGTTTCAGAATAAAGCATCTCCTAGTGAACTTTGCCAATGCCTGTTTTTGTTTTTTTTTACTTAGTCTTGCTCCAGCTTCACAGCAACTCGTCATGGCGTCTTTTTTCATGCTCTGCTAGCCTTGTGGTACAGCTTTGCCACTGGTCATTCATTTAAAAAGGAACTTTTTTGTTTTTCCAGTAGACGACAGTAGAAACAATAGATCTTGTCTGCTGACACAGAATATATCAGCCAAGGACGCAAAACACTTTCACCATTACCCAGGTTTGGTATGCAATGCACGTAAGAGAAATGTCTACCATCCTTATTTTTCTAAAAATTCTCCAAAGTAATCTCAGGTTTTACCTTTTTGTAATAAATAGTCAATACAAGATCTTTCCATTTTTTCTAGACACAAGGCAGGATAATCCAGATTTCTAAATGAATCGACCACATTTAGCTCATTATCTATAACTACATGCTAATCAGTTGTTACATTATTGCCTTCATTTCTTAAGACATGTTGATCAGTTGTTAGTGTTATCTTCTTCTCTTACGACATTCACCACTGCAGTTTTTGCATTCTTCATATAATCTGTTTCAGCTGTCTCACTAGAAGTGATTATGTTCTCATTTTCATGTTTTGATCGTTTAAAAAACGTATTGTGATTCTATTGGAACATTCGTTTCTGTTAAAATTCGCACTATTATTATATTTTTATGTAAATATGAAAGCTGACAATGCTTTTTTTATTCGCGTAAGATTTGTGTTTTCCATATAACAATTTTGTCTAATCTTCAGGAGATTTTAAAAATAATTTCCACGACTTTTTCATATATTTTGTATCATTATGCAATTACAGATATACTTAGCGCGGGGCCTATGAAAGCGCGGGCCCACTGCGGCCGCATAGGTTGCAGTGGCTTAAGACCGGCCCTGACATCAGGAATGGACCATTATAATGCAAACCCATTTTTTTTTAAATTTATTTTTAACTAAACCTGTTATTTACAACAGTCAATATAGCTTTATTGCTTTAAACAAATGGAAATTTGTTTTGACTACAACTGTCTACTACTAAACAAAAAGAACTGGATATAACAATCAATGGTTGTGATAAGTTCATCTATGTCAGAGCTATTGTTTAC